CTCTCTATATATATATATATATATATATATATATATATATATATATATATATATATATATATATATATATCATCCAAAAGAGACTGTTTTGCTGTATCAGAGCTCCACAGTTTGATAGACGTCTGATTGCTTCAAGCCAGGATCGAAACCACTGATTTGACATCAGTCAGATATCTTACCTCTCTCTATCTCTCTCTCTCTCTCTCTCTCTCTCTCTCTATATATATATATATATATATATATATATATATATATATATAATCTGAGGAGGTACACTACACAATATATATAAATACATATAGAAAGCAAAGACGAGGAAGAACAAGGATGAGGAAAACAACTTATTTCTCTTCATGTGATGCATCGAAAAATATTACCTAAAATTAAACCAACAAAAAAACAAAACAAAAAAAAACAAAAAAAAGTGTGTGATGATATAATCAGTTAATGCTTTTTGTGTAAATTCTTTTGTATTTGTTCGAGCTGTTCATTGCAGAACTTACAGTGAGTGATTTATCCACAGAGCATTGATTTCTATATCCACATTGTTTATATTGGACGATCTATCTATCTATCTATCTATCTATCTATCTATCTATATATCTATCTATCTATCTATCTATCTATCTATCTATCTATCACTGTTTCTCTTAATCTAGTTTTCTTATCTATCTATCAATCTATCTATCACTGTTCATCTTCATTTATCTATCTATCTATCTATCTATCTCTGTTCATTTTCTATCTATCTCAGTTCATATCTATCTATCATTGTTTATCTAGTTTTCTTATCTATCTATCTATCTATCTATCTATCTATTTATTACTGTTCATCTTTATCTATCTATCTATCTATCTATCTATCTATCTATCTATCTATCTATCTATCTATCACAGTCTGTTGGTATATATATGCTTATATCTAACTATTGATAGATATCTATAAACGGCGATTGATCTATTTATTTACATAAATTGTGTCTCCTCATAATTTAATTCATAACCCATAAAAAAGTTTAATTTCCATTTAGCCATCTTCTTCTCCAGAACTCTTACATTGTGGAACTGAATCGAGAGAGGATTAATTGCTCATTAAGATAATCCGTTATCTATCATATTTATCTTCATAATATAAAACGCTTTCCCCATCGCTATACGCCCCTTACCACATCTCTCTTCAGCAGCCCTCTACATTTAAGAGGTAGATATTAGATGTTCGTTGTTGTGTAATGCATATCGGCTTGGAATGAGAAATTGGAGATCCGAGTTCGAATTCCAGTCGCTTTCGTTACATTCACATTACAAGAAAATAGAATTGAGAAAGTTACACATCCTTCTGTCATCCTCCTAGCCATTGTTTGAATAGCACAAATAAAAGGCTACGGGAAATCTCTGTCATGAATCGAAAGATAAAAGATTGCCCAGAGTGATTGATTGGCTGAACATTATATATATATATATATATATTATGTAGATTTCCACTATCCACTATCCCTCTCCTCATCCTTTCTTCTATCACTTGCTCTTGCTCCAAATCTTCTGCAACCTAGTGGCTTCATGCCTTGCTCAGGGCGTAATGTAATATATATATATATATATATATATATATATATATATATATATATATATATATATATATATATATATATATATATATTTGAGTAGTAGTCCTGTTTATTTTTTAAACAATATTGTATTTCGTCTTCCGGCTTTCACACAAATATTGTTAACCACTAAAAAATACTGTTTGAATTAATAAAATTAGTTGGATCAAAAAAATTGACATCTAATTAATTCTTCGCACACACACGCATACACACACACATATGTATATGTACATATATACAGGCACAAACAAATATTTATACGCACATACACACACACACACACATATATATATATATATACATATACACACACAAACACACACACACACATATATATATATATCTAATTCTATATCCTATCTATCTATCTGTCTATATATATATATATATATATATATATATATATATATATATATATATATATATTCACACTAGAATAAATCCTAAGGAGTCAGGCATACCTACCTAGGTTTCATCTCAACGGATCTTCAGGGTAAACTGGCTACCCTGAATATTCGTTTACGTGAAACTTAGGTATGTTTGCCTGGCTCCTTAGGATGTATTCTAGTTTATCACTCTACTTAGCGTATTGAGCATTCTACGTTTTAGTCTTTCTACTCATTTGTTTTTTTTTTTTTTTTTTGGACTAAGGACTCAAAATCACTAAGCGATTTGTTAATCTTGTTCTGATGGTTTTATTTCTTTCTTATTTTATCTCTATTTTTTTACCTCTGCGAGTTGGGTATCGAGGTTTTCCAAACGAGTACTACTATTAACATATATATATATATATATATATATATATATATATATATATATTATAAAACAGTTATAAAACTGTTATTGGTCAGACATCTATTACACAAGGAAACAGTTCTAGCAAAATTAAATAAAAAAGAAAATAAGCCAGTCACGCTACCTTGGTTTCAACTTTTCTGTATCCTCAAATCAATGGGCAATGATTAGCTTACATGCATTTATATATATATATATATATATATATATATATATAGGTAGAGATATATAGGTAGATATATATATATGTGTGTGTGTGTGCGTGTGTGTATGTGTGTACGCGTGAGTGTGTGCGTGTACGCGTAAGCGTGTGTGTGTGTGTCCGAGCGCGCCCGCCTGTGTGTGTGTGTGTGTCTCCGCGCGCGCCCGCACGTGTGTGTGTGTATTTGTACCAATATCGTCACTGTTTCATTTCTAAATAAGTAAATATTGCAAAGAAACGATTTTAAAGAAAATACATTTTTTTTTAAGTAATGTTATGTTATCCAAGAGTGGCGGGTCCTCATAGAAAAATTATTACAGCCCTTAACTAGGTAATTGTTACCTCCACAGACACGCTTTGAGCTTATGCCAGACAGAGAAAAACGCATTAGATGGCTTCCGTGTATCTTTCTGAGTAAATGACAGCGAGGTTCAGGAGTTTGGTACCTCCTATATTAGAGGAGCTACATTCAATCTTCACACTGTGCTAGACACTTGTGCCTTTGTACTATAGTCGGGCGAATTTGAAGAATAACACGGGTTACTCAAGTTTTACTAGAATAGAGCGAGTCTTATGAGAGTCTTCATATATATATTGTCTTGTTTCATAATCAGCTATATTTTACAAACTATCAGATAATCAGCTATATTTTACAAACTATTAGATTCGCCGTGAATCTGAAGAAAGCTATCTCTTCGGTCAACAGTTTGTACAAAGATTTAAATTCGAAACTAAACGGGTACATCCACCACATGTAAGAGCCCAGTTTATATCCACGAATATCAACCATTAGGGTCTAAATGTTGCAATATGAAACGGGATTGTGGGAGGACAGTTCCCTAATCGTGATAACCCCAACACATCAAAGTTGAAGCTCAGCTGTTATCTATCATTGATATCCTTAGAATATATAACACTTGTTTCCTCCATCTACGACCTTACAACATCCCAGTTTGGTAAACCTCTACCCTGGGTCCTATAGAATTGGTTGGCAACCAGTCTACCGCAAAAAAATGAAAGTCTGCTCCGGGAATATCCCTGCCGTGTCAGTTATGAATCAAAAACATGTCATGTCTGATATATATATATATATATATATATATATATATATATATATATATATATATATATATATATATATATATATAGACACACACACACATAAACAGGAATCATTCCAATTGCCTCAGGAGAATTATGGTCGAAATCCGTGTTTTTGAGGTTGGTTGGCATTTTAAGACATTTATAAACACACACATCTCTCTCTCTCTCTATATATATATATATATATATATATATATATATATATATACGACAGAGTAAACAAACAGTAAAATATTTGTCGTGACCGAACGCATTAAAAAATGCTCAATATCAAGTTGCAGAGCTGTTTAATGTTTTAAAAAAATATGAATACTGCCAAGAAAACCCACAGATTCGACCACTACGGTCTCTTTTCGGCATTTTGTCCATATATATATAAATATAAATATATATATATATATATATATATATATATATATATATATATATATATATATATATATAGAGAGAGAGAGAGAGAGAGAGAGAGAGAATAGATTAATATTTAGGATGATAATCTCTAAGACCCAAACAGCTGTGCTGTAAGATTTATCCACTCTGTGTGTTACAGATTTGCGAATTGTGCCAGGGTAAAATTGCAGTATGTAAAACAGACACACACACACATACACACACATGCACACAGACACACACACACACACGCACACATAAACATACCTTGTAGATTTATGATTAGCAAACTAAACTAGTAGATATATACCGTCGACTTGTCGCTACCTTTCTAGTCATACGGTTCATACTTTTGGATGTTTTGTAAAAACCAATGTAACCTTAATAAATAAGTAGTTTACATAACAGAAGTCTATTCAGCACCCCGAAAAAAGTAGGTACTTATTCATACTAAATACATTCTTTAAGAAACCATGCTTAAAGTAAAGCGAGTTTGGTCTATACTAGGTGTCTTTTGGTCACATGCCGAGCTAAGCTAAGTTTATAAAATGTCCACAGGGATTTTAAGTGGGTGTGTCGCTTAGATGAGGATACGAAATGCAGCGATGAACAATGATTGCATTCAGCTTTAATAAAAGGATGAAAATGGGGAGGGAATAAAGTGAATAGAAACCTGTCATGATTTATAGAAATTTAAGAGAGATGGTTTTCATAATGATATTATTTAAATATGGTTTTTACATATATTAGTTTTTTTCTTTTAGAAGACGGACTGCTTAGATATTGGAGTGTAGAGAAAGAGAGCAGACAAATGAATCGGGAGAGGGAAGAACTATACGGAGATTAGAAAATATGCCAATGTTATTAGATTATTAAATTAGAAAACCATTTAAAAACTAGCG